CGGTTGACATATTTGGCCTACTAACTTATTCATTGTCTCGTTCAATGTCTTTAGTTGTTTGGCCATGTTGTCATAGTGCATATTCCCATTTTGAGTAAATATTTCCATACTATGAATATTTCGAAGATTTACCTATTCAACGACGTCTTGCGTGAGTTCTCCAAGTAATGCACGCATGGTTCGAGGACTCAACTCCGTCATTGGTTCGTAACGACTGTTACTGCTCTGGTTCTGTCCATCTGTTCGTGGAGAGGCATGCTGCTCCTCATATCGCTCGATCACAAACTGGATTCCTCCCTGACTTGCTGCTTCCTTATCGGATCTCTGAGGCATATTGTTTCCCCTTTTGTACTTTCAACACCTAACACCACTGTCCCACTGGGCATGCCAAATTGTTTCGCGCGGATTAGTCGCTAATAATTAAAAAGGATCAGACGATTGTGTAAGGGACGAAACCTCTTGAGACAAAGTCCCAAAAAGGGGTGTTCTTTTATTGGCGATGACTTTACAATTGGAAACGAAAAACAACGTGCCTCCAAAGGGCGCAAGCACACGAGTTACTGAAAGAAAAGTGTTTAAGTCTAAAAACTAAGGAAATGAAAATTACATGTTCTCTGTTCGAGAGTTTTGGATTCTTTTCTTTTCTTCTAAGTCTTTTCTCTCTTTTATACTTCATGGACGATCTCTTTGTGATCAACCGCTCTAAAAACTGCTTGATCGTCCTATAACTGCCCACTTTCTTCGTAATGGCCAACTTGTAATGACAACTTCCTTTTTTAACTGCTGCCATTACTCTTCATCGTTCAACCGCTTTCAATTGAATTCCTCGAATTGTGGAACGTGATAGGGCTGCTTTGATAACTGCACTTCTTGATAACCATGACGCTTTATGTTTGTTAAGACCTTGGGCGACTTGAAGGTTTGGGCGAGAATAGAGTAACAGCTCTGGGCGACTGTATGACACTCCATTCGCTCAGATTCTGGGCGACTTGCAAACTTGGGCGATGGCGCTACCGCATTCTTGGGCCTCCTTATTCGGGCCTTCATCTTGATTTGTTTGATTGGGCTTCGTTCTTTGGGCTTTCTGGTTTGGGGATCCTCCAATTGGGCTTCACTTCTTGGGCCGCTTGATTTGGACTGAATTTTTATGTGTCAACAATTCCTCCTAGTGAGATTGGGGTGCTAAGGTGGTCGAATACACTTCCCCACCTGCAAATGTCCCATCTACCCTTCGAGGGTCCTGATTGTTGGTTTTGCTTTGAAAGGGCTCATCTTTCGAAAATAGCATATTACTTCTTATTGGCGAGTGATCCCCTTGGATATGAACTAGGGATTTATCATCCATTTTCTGCAACTTTGGATTATGGTATTTTGATTTTGTTCTATATGGTGTACGACATTGATTAGATTTCATAGCAAGACGAAGATCCTTCCTCTAGTGTCAATTTATTGACAATGAAAAGTGATGCGGTACCTTTTGATTAATTTAAGATTTACTTAAGAAATAGAGAATTTACGATATTTGAAGTCAAATCGAGTATAAACTGAATGTGTTATCAATGCCTGAACTCTCTTGAAATTCATATTCACTTTTAGGAGAAAAATAACTCATTTTATAGGTAAAGTTTTTTCCTTCATGCCACCTCAATTACTTCAATTTACAATGTTTTTTCTTGGAGTATGATTTTTAAGCAACAACGTCATCTCGATTAGTAAAGAATGGTGGCATCTAGGGCTCAATGATTGCCTAAGAATTAATCTACTATGAAGCAGTCTTGTCCAAGGCTGTGATTGGTCCCTGAGTATTGTGTTGATACAAGTGGAGAAGGGCAAGCCACCTTCAAAGTAATCATTAGTTCCCTTATTTTGAACAACTCCTTTTTATTCAAAGTGTTTTTTTATGAGTTTTACTACATGTACTCATTTCGATGTACACTTTTCTCACATGAGGAGATCTCACAATTTTTTTTATTGTCATGGAGCTCATCCTCTCATGTGAAGAGAATGTACACCGGAGTGTCAACCCCTGTGTATAAATAGCATTTTCCCTTTTTTATTGACACTTATTGTGTGCTTGATTTTTATATTCTATTTTAAGGTTCAGAGTAATTACTTCTTCGAGATGGATGCCACTTGTACATATCTTGCACTATGTGTCGTATGATGCGTTGCTTCAGATGTAACAATATGTAACAACTGACAATTAGCCCTAGGTCTTGTTCTTCTGGCACCCAGTGTCATCTCCTGAATTATCTATCTATTTATAAATTTGACTATACTCGAGTAATAGATCATTACATAATTTATTTATTTTACAATGGTGGCATTTAAATAATTCATTTATTTTACAGTGGTGAAAAAAGAGCATTTCCAATATTATCAGCTATGGTTTGTGATTTACTAAAGCATATATTGTAATCTGTAACAATTTGATATAGTTTTAGTGTAGGTAATAATAGGGCAATTAGTAAAGGTTAAAGGAAGATAAATTTTATTATTTCATGCACGTGAAGGGTTTAGAAGACATGCACTAAGGGTTCAAAGTCTAATTATATATAAACTGCATTGGTAAAACTTTACAAAAACTCTATAAATACGACATTTGATGAAAATAATTTGCCCATGTTTGGGAAAATTTTCAAATAAAAAGAATGGAAGAATACATAATTACAAAAGTTTCAAAACACACTTCCAAAAATATGAAACTTGTGAAAACTTTCAAAAATCAGGTGACTACCTGATAACAGATCAATGTCACAATAAAACAAAATTTTGGTCACAGTCACAATTAGCATACTATCACAGTTATAGAGACACAAATTGTAAGTAATAATGACAAATTCAGTCGTAATTACGTATTTTTAGGCCACATATTATTTATTAATCACAATTTATCTATTTTATTAGTCAAAATCACTCAAATAATTGGTCAAACGCTCACCTAATACATTGAAACTCACTGCCCATGGATAAAGAAAAATCATTTCAATATCAAAAACAATAAAAACAAGAGCAAACATATAATAACAGATTTGAAATTGTAATCAACCGTCGCCCTCCACTTTTACTACCACCACCACCATTTGTAAAATGACCCTCAATCTCAAATTGCCATAAATTGCACTAGAGGCCCCGCCCCAAATCAATACCTTAGCCCAAAATTTTTCCCTTTACTTTTACTTTGCGTAGCTATTGTGAACGACGGTGTTGGGCACTACTGTAGTAGCATTGTGGTGGTAGTGGGCAACAGTGCTTGGAATTGGGGTAACGATGCTTAGAATTAGGGTTGTGGTGCTTGGAATTTGCAGGTTGTCTTGAAAGTATATCAACCATGATTTCTTGGAAAATGCTTAGAATATGTGGTGGTGTGGTGCTTGGAATTGGGGATGACAGGAGACAGTTGTGGTGGTATGGATGCAATTGTGATTTGTGGAATGGGGAAAAGAATAAATTAGGGTTTGTCATAGGTTGATGGGGTGGGATACACTTAGGTTTGAAGGATAAAATCTTACACCGAGTTTTTGAAATGATAAGTTAAAAAGTAGGTGTGCGTGTAATTTTTACAAGAAGGAAATGAACATTTATTGGCCAAACTCAACCCATTTAATTGATGTCGATGAAGCAATAAGGGAAAAAATTCATATACATATATAAAAATTTACCTCTCTAAAATACAATTCATCAACCAGCTGACGGTAAAGGCCATAAAGATCTCAACTTGACTGTCTACAGTTGCTGGAACTTCCTGAAGTGGCAGTAATCGCACAATTCAAGTCACAATTTGAAGATTATCCTCACATTATATCCGGATAATCGAACAATTGACACAGATTCTGATATATCAATCATCATTGAAATCAGTAATTTTGTATTGATCGGGCATGTCATTCTAATTCATTGAATTTTATGTTTGTATACTGGTTCAATGTTCTAATCAATAGTCGATCAATTTATGTCACTAGAACTGCTTGAATTAACAATATTCAGACAATTGAAGTCACAGTTTTAATGAATAATCGATCAATTTATATTACTGTATTATGTAATTTATGTAATATATCACATTCAAAAACTCTGACATATGAATAAAATGCATATGTATGTGACCTCGTATCGATGTCTACGTTCCAAAGGTAAATTGTGTGACTTGTATATAAACAAAGTGATTGTTTGAATTGTATGAAAATCCATATGACCATCAGTGATTGTGTTGTGAATATAACGAAGAGTCAGGGACCTGGTTTATTTCATTAAATGGCCCGAATTCAGAAAATTACCTGCATTAAAAAAAATCAAAATGGCATTGTGATACACATTCTTTGGGTGGATTTTATGTATTGGATATTGTTTTGCATTATATCTTAAATTAATATATGTGACGTTTATCCATACAATTTAATTAAATGTACTGTGCAAAAGGTATGTGACCATTAGTGTTTATGTTGTGTAATTTAATATGAAAATGTGACATGAAATATTTCAATATGTGAAATGTATGAGCAATATGTAACCTGCATCTATTTAATCTGTGACCATGAGTAAGAAACTGTAACATGTATTTGTTGTGACTTAGAATTATATTTGTGACTAACGTTATTTAAGTTGCTTTTGCAGAAATGGGATACATTCACATTTGTTTGTTGTATGAAGAGTTATTTTGTCGGTAACAATATATCAATTCGATGAAAAATGAACGTGCATGGAGTTTTTCGAAATATATGGAAGTGAAGTAATTTTCTTTTTTGAAACAGTTCGGGTATATTTGATTATATTTATTTTTTATGAAAATTAGCAATTTCAAGCAAACAAGAATGTAACTTTAAGAAGTGAAATGGGGCCTAGATTCCCAAAAGCGGCATTCTTTCACAGGGGCTCTACAGGCCGTTCACCATGTGAAAGGGCTCACCTGTATTTTAAAAAATAAAAAAAAAATTGTGGAACCCACCTTGTGTGTGTTGCCTGGCAGGGGGTGAACAGTCCCTGTAACTATAGCATTACTCATGAAAACTTCCTCAACAAAAATTCCTTCAAAAGATTCGAGGAAATTTTGTACAGAAGTTACAGGGATAATTATTATCAAAAATTATGAAACTCTATACTACATGATTTTCTCGACTTCTGTCTTTCTGGGGACCAAAAATCAGAGTAGGAACAACGCTACTGTTGTCAGCGATTCAGCACAGAATTTAGCACTCCAACCAAGAAAAAAAACTGTATTTTTTTCATTTTCTCTGCTTTTCGATTCCAAATACAAATTCCAAGCTTTGTAAAAATCTCAGAAATTTTCGCAGGTAACATTGGCCTGTTATATCATTTAACGTTATGTAGATTGGTTGCTTTCTATTTTTCGGATCATTTTCTAAATTCTTTTTGAAGCTTCGCCGAATTAAATCGTTTACAAGTGTTGACGAATTTCAGAATGATGTAATCTGTATAGTAATTAAGATTAATAAGATGTAATCTGTATAGTAATTAAGATTAATAATAGCCCAATTTGTTCCTTTCCAATTTTGTTTTTCCTTTTTTTTTTTTTTTGGGTTGATGGATTTTGCTTACTCGATTTAGTACTCTTATTGAAATCTTGCTGATATGATGCATCATGTTGCTTTACCTTTTCTTAGAGGAATTTCTGCATCCAGTGTATTCTTAATCTGAACACTTTTGTTTGGCTCTGACTGAAATTTAGCAAATTGTTCTTGTATCAGAACTTCACGAATGGATTTCGTGATATTATGTACCATTTTGTTCATAAATACTTGCTGAGGTGTAGAGAGTACACCTTGTATTTACATTTAATAATTTTTGTATCTTTGAGAAAACAAAAGGAAATAATGTTTTTCCAAAATGGAGCTCTGATGTACTATTAGTAAAAATGGTTTCTTTTTGAACCATATTGAAATGATCGAAACAGAACGAAAAATGAGAGAGACTTACTAACAATACTTCCCTTGTAAAATATAGTTCCATATTCTTTTCTCAGATCTTGTTGGAAATCAAAATAAAGCTACTATCAATGTGTTCCAATATGATTATATAACTCATTAAAATATTTATGTAATCTATCTGCTCACTTGTGCTGATATTTAAATTTCTTTGATGGAAATAATCAAGGTTTCAAGCTATCATATTGAATAATGGTTAATTCTGATAAACCAAAGAGAAGGGTGGCTTTTGTGCTGATAGATGGTTTGGGTGATGTATCACTGCCAATGTTTGGTTATAAAACCCCTTTGCAAGTAGCCAACTTGCCTAATTTGGATGGGATTGCTTCGGCCGGAGTAAATGGTCTGATGGATCCTGTTGAAGTAGGCTTGGCCTGTGGAAGTGATACTGCCCATCTTTCTTTATTGGGTTATGACCCTAGGGTTTATTATCGAGGTCGAGGTGCATTTGAATCAATGGGTGCTGGACTGGCAATGTCTCCAGGAGATATTGCATTTAAAGTATGAACCTCTCCTTCCTCTCTTTTGTCAGTTCCTTCAATCCTGTTCTTTATTTTTTTACAAACTTGATTAATACTCCTTGTTGCTGAGCATTCATTCTAGTGTCAATACTTTCATATTTCCTCAGTATTTTAATTGAGCAGAAATTTCGAGATAGTGGTTCTGTAATTTGACATTATTATTTCTAGTTTCGCATTAAGATTTCGTAGATTTATGTTGGGAAACTTAAGTTGCTTCTTTTTCTTTTTCTCGATCTTTTGCTTTAATATTTTATTTTAATGGCTCTGGCAATCTGAAGAGTTAAAGTTGGATAACTTTTTTTTATCATGACATAATTTGGTTTCAAATAAACTTTGTTGTGCTAATTAACTTCTTGCACCTATTTACTTTTTCATTGTCTTATCTCTCATCCATTTCCTCCGTTAATATTTGAAATGTTTCTCCCTTTCATTAGTATGGTTATTCATTGTCCACAATTAGTAAACATTGGAAAATCATTATAGCTCTCCTATTTCTGTTCTATGTTTTATTGCACATTGTTTTTGAGTAAACTGTGAGAAGTTAGACCAAGTGTATTATTTGCATGAGAACTTCATTTGTAGCATCTTGATTTCTACAAGATTACTGTGTGTTAGTAATGTCAAGTAATGCATTATTTGATTACTAGTGCTGACTTATCCTGTTCCTTGACATGGACCTGTGGTATTATTTGTCTTTCTTTAACATCATGGAAGGTCATATGTATTTTAATTGGTTTTGCAATTTATAATTAGTTTCGCTTTTGTATTGTGAAAACTCTCGTGCCAATATACAGGTCTAATTTCTTACACAAAACCAATTGCTCCAATATCAACATTTTAGGATTCATGTTTATGTCCTATAAGAAAGGTCTTTAGCTCTTGCAGATGTGATAGTTTCGTCTTAACTGTACATTCTTGAAGAAAATACATATTAGTTAGTCACTCGTCTTCTATAATGACCATTATTTTTATTTCTTTTATCTCAGTCAAACTTCGCAACACTGGATGAGAAAACTGGAGTAGTTGTTAGTAGGAGGGCTGATAGGCACTTTGAAGAAGAAGGGCCTATTCTCTGTGCAGCATTGGATGGAATGAAGCTTCCATCTTTTCCTGAGTATGAAGTTAGAGTCAGGTGCTTCCAGATGCAATATCTTTTGCTTGTTGAATGATTTATGCTACTGCTGAAACTATTTACAAAGTTTAGGCTTTTAAAGTATTAATAATATTGAGATGGTCAAATGAATTAAACAAGTTGCTTTTGTTCTTGGTCTAAGTTGAACTTATAAATTCTTATTTTGCCCATAAGATTTAGCGTATTATATGAATTGTCTGGTTTAGGTACGCAACAGAGCATAGATGTGGAGTGGTTGTGAAAGGACCAAACTTGAGTGGAAATATATCGGGAACAGATCCATTGAAGGATAATCGCTTACTTCTTCAAGCTGAAGCCCTTGATGATTCTATTGAAGCAAAGCACACGGCTGCAGTTGTTAATGATTTGTCGAAAGAGATTACTCGCATATTAGTTGGCCACCCAGTAAATGCGAAAAGGGCAGCCGAAGGAAAGAATATTGCAAATGTTGTCCTTTTACGAGGTTGTGGCATTCGAATCGAGGTAAACTTTTGTAGTACTTAGTAATTTCTCTCTTCCTTTCTCTGGAGAAAATTCATATAGGTGTTAAGCGCGGAAGAAGTTAGCAATCAATTTTTTGCATATAACAACCAACCAGAGCCACTATATATAGAAAGAACATCAGATATTGTTCATGGGGTTTGAACAAACCTACATCCCCGAATCTCCACAATATATGGATGCTCATCTGCACGGAATCATCTAATGCCTCAAGAATGTACAATAAGTTCAAACAGACCTGTCAACATCAACGAGACCATTGAACAAGACTTTCACAATTCACTCTCTCTATCAGACTCCACTCCACCCTATTATCAACACATAATCTGTACAATATTACACTTAGTATACTCAAGAACGCTCTGTTCTAATGGCTAAAATGAATGATCACCACAGAGATGAAAACACCCTAGAATACAGAGAGAAAAGAGACTCATATGGAACAAACTATATAGATACACTCTTGCCCTAATTACACAGAAAGTGGTATTTATATCACTCAAGAGGCTAAGCAATATGTACGGTTGAAAACAAGGGACGAGATTGAGCCACGTAGCAAAAATGAATTCCAGACATTAAGCCCATATTCGCATTCTAGAAACACGATTTTATCCTTAATCCTGTATCAGTGCCTATTCTACAACAATAGGCACCCAATTTTCTGTTTTATTATGTAATGTAATGTGTTTTTCTTTGATACTCTGGTGCAGTAAATAAATTTCTTTAAATTTCTGAATTATCATGGCATATTAGGTTCCTCAATTCGAGAAGGTCCATGGGCTGCGGCCATGCATGGTAGCTCCTACCAAAATTATAGCTGGATTTGGTTTGTCTCTGGGTATTGATATTTTAGAAGCTCCGGGAGCAACAGGAGACTACAGAACCCTATTAAGTTCGAAAGCAACTGCCATAGCCAGGGCACTTTCAGCTCCTCTGCAACCTTGCCCCAGCGTTTTTGTACCTGGGGAGGATGAACACAAACCTGGTCAAGCCGATGGCTATGATTTTGGGTTCCTTCACATCAAGGTGTTGATCTCTCTCTGCATGCGTGCATGTGCACAAAGTCGAATAGACTTTAAAAAGATGGCCTTTTGCCTGTGAACTAGTTATATATTTGTCATTATTTTATTGCATATGGAGCTCAATGTGCATTATTGTTCGTGAATTTAACTTCATCAAAGGAAATTCCAGAGAATTTTCCTCGTGTAAAGATAATCCTGTGAACTTTGCTACTTTTGGACATTTATGCCTTTTTTACCTTTCATTATTGCCTGTGAAACACACGCTGAGATGAATAATTATAACTCTTTCGTCACGGAATCAACCATCGTGAATTTTCATTTATACCAATCAAATAACATACAATTTTTTATATGCATTAGATTATCTGAGTAATTTGACGTTCTAAGCATTTTCATTATTGGCGGCAGGCAATAGACGACGCAGGCCATGATAAAGCTAGCATGTTCAAAGCCAAAGGATTAGAAGCTGTTGATCGAGCTATAGGACAGCTGGCTAGGCTCCTTTGGGAAGCAGAAACAACAGGGGCATTTCAATATTACCTTTGTGTCACCGGAGATCACTCTACCCCAGTTGAATATGGTGACCACAGCTTTGAACCCGTCCCATTTGCATTGTGTGGTTTAAAAGACTTTGTTGCCGCTGTGGGCAGTGAATCGGTTCTTTCTACTTCCCTCGACCCATTTCCACTTCCAACAATCCAAGCTGGTCAAGAATTTGTAGACGATTTGCTGAAGCAAGAAGAGAGAGAGAAACGAAACAAACGTTTAGAGGCTTTCAAAGGAGACACTGTTTTTGAGTTCAATGAGATAACAGCAGCAAGAGGATGTCTTGGAAGATTTCCTGGGAGCGAAATGATGGGAATTATAAAGGCATTTCTTAAGCTCGAATCCTGAGAAGCTTTGGTACTAAATTTTGTGGTTAGTTTCTGCTTCAGATCAAGAATAATAATATGTTGTTAAGGTATTTTTAACTGACAAACACCTTTGTTAAATGGTCTAATTTTGGAAATTCTTATAATAAAAATTTCTATTAATTAAGAAGAAAAAGGAGTTTCCTTCTTAATTAACAGAAATCTTGTGTTTCATCTTCTATAAATTAGTAGAAATTTCTGTTGATGTTTCTTGTAAATTTGTCACACCAATGGCCTCTCATATTTCATTTCAAAAATTGAGGACTAATTGGCAATTACAGAAATGTAAAGAAAGATTTGAAACCAAATCGTTTCTAGCTGGGATTAACTTGCTACTAAATTTATAGGTCGGGTACCAATATGCAATTTTGAAAATGCACGTGGAACTTTTGTGCTTTAGACTCAGGGGCGCACCCACTAAGGGACTAGTGGGGTCGGTCGCCCCTATTGAATTTTCGAAAATCTTCAATTCGACCTTGTTAAATTTAAATTTTTTTATTTTTTTGGTTTTTTCACAATTTATTTTAACCAATTTTCTGTTTCGCCCCCGTTGAAGTATAAGGTCCTGTTTGGTACTTATTTTTTTCAAAATGCATTTTTTTCTCTTCTTTTCAACCATACATTTTTTATTAAAATAATATTACACGTAAATAAAAAACTTTTCCTTATTTTTCAACCACACATTTTCCATCAATTTACTATTCTAAAATGCATTTTTACATAAAAATGGCTACCAAACACCCTCTAATTCTGGGTTCGCCCATGTTTAAACTTATGGATGGTATCCTCTAAAATCTAAAGATGGGTTCTCTTTCATGCAATGCTAATTTGTCATTTTTTATTATATTAGTGGATTTGGTCCCCATACTTCACATATTTTTAATGGTTAGTCCTTTGACTTAACATCGTGAACTACGTTAATCGCTTCGTCTGTCTCTGAAGTTCCAAATAATTGAAATGATGAGTTTTCAAACGGAATTGTTTACGTAATCGTTAATTTCTTTCAATGCAGCATCTAATAACATAATTGGTCCCTGAAATATACACATTGCCTCAGAAGGTCCCTAAACAATAACAGCATCATGATTTGTCCTTCAACTTAATGTCGTGAACCATGTTAGTCATTTCTTTTGCCTCTGCCATTCCTTAACGAAAATGATAGTGTTGGTCGACAGAATTACTTTCTTTTGTCCAACTCACCATCTATCTCAACAAAAAAATAAGATGTAAAATGGTAAAACTCAGTCCAACTCATGGAAATTACTTACGAGTACAATAAAAAGGTTATCGTTAAGGTGCAGAAGATGACTTATGCTACCATGGTCGGAGCATTTAAATCATTCCATTAATTGTCATTTAGAGCATTTTCAACGCATTTCATGAATTGCAACTTAGGTAGCATCTATATAAAGAGACTGCCAATTATGTGGCATTAATGTCTAAGAGCATCTCCAATGTTAATGTAGACCACATTTTAAAAACTATCATATAAGCTAAAATAAATAATGTTTACATCTTTTGAATGCAACATGTCTAAGATTATGTCTAACTTCCGTGGCTTTGGCAAGCCAAAAAAATTAAAAAATAAAAAAAAATAAAAAAAAAACAATGTGAATCAATTCGTCTAGATGTAGAGGCTTTTCTAAAGGAGATCATTAAGTTAAGAATAATATTTCTCTCTCTCATTCTCTCCATCTTTCTTAGTTTTCTTCTTAGGTATTTCTCTTTCTTTTTAAATATACATTAGAAATTAATTTTGAATTCAATCATCTATTCATTAGTCATCAATGCCATGTAACGTGAAAATACTTCTGTTTACACGACACCTAGATGACAATATATAATGCATTAGAGATGCTCTTAAGGTCTAGGTAAATAGAGAGTTTCAATTTACGTGGTATTGATGTCTAATGAATAAACTTAAAGTTCCAAATTTATCTCTAATGAGTTTTGCCTATAATTCGAAATATACCTCTACTTTACATTTTATAGGAGAGGGGAAATAATAAATATGCGAGTGAAAAATAGAGAGAAATATTATATTTTGATAACTCATGTCAACCAAAAGAGCTTTTATATCTATACGGATGTTTTCACAATGTCTTTTTTCTTGTCACGTCAATAGATCTAGAACCGTTTGCATAAATTTCCCTTTTTCTTTCATTTTGTATGGCTTCTTTTTTCTTTTTCTTTTTTCCTTTTTTCTTTTTTTTTTTTGTTTATTTAAGTTAAAGGGTAAAAACGTCTATTAATTTCTTGAAGATTAGGGACAAAAACCTTACGAAAAAAGGATTAGGACATTTTCGCAACTTTGGACAAAGGTTAGGGCAATTAACCCTAAGAAAAAGACTTTTTGGCACTTTTGGTGCTTATCGTATTAGGTTTTTGTGGATTAGGACCTATCCTTTTAATTTTGACAAAACATCTCAAATTCAACGTTCCCTTTGCACGAGTGATCATTTCCATCCGTAGCCAAATTAGTCTTTAAAAATTAGCGTGCACTGCACATGCTTAATTTCAGAAGGATAATTTTGTCAAATCACTTTAAATAAAATGGGAATTCATAGTAAGGTTTCAAACCTTTAAAAAATCGTAGCAACTGCATCCAAAACCTTTTAATAAATGTACAAGTAAAGGACCTTTTGACAATTTTCGTCCAAAAGACCATCAATTAACCAAAATTCAAACGTCTACCTTATCTGACCAATTTCATGAATGGCAAATAAAGCCAAATATAACTACCTAATTGATTTTCTTCTTAGATTGATTCCATATGCTTCAAGGAAAAAGGCTTCAACATGTCCATTGTGCAAGTCTAGTTTTGGTAGCATCCCAAAAGTGGTAGATGCAGTTTCTTCAGATCAAAAAATATACTCACAAACCATTCCATGTGACCGTGCAAAAATGGATGCTTACATCCTTCTTAATGAAGTACCTGCTAGTGTAATTTGTTAGGCATTTTCCAGTCACTTTAGTTTAAGAGCTCTGAACCTTGTCTTTAGCGACTACATGAGTCTTGTTAAAAGTCCTGCTTGTTGGTTTGTAGATTTAATCTTTCCCTTGAAGATTAAATCCAAATAGATTATAGATCTTCGATCACCTTTGAGATCGTTGGATTTTGTTTTGAATTCACATTTATGGGTAAGATTAGAAAGTTAAAAGCGCTTTTAATGTTTCCTTTTGTTCTCTTTTCCCTTGGGTGCCTTCCTTTTTGGGAAAATGAGAGAATGTGACTAACCCTAATATCTAGAGAAATGTGCCCATAAATGACATATTTATAATACTCCGTTAGGATTTCATAATTGCACATTGTAGTAAGTCAATTAAATCTCGCATCTATATTAGAGCCAAGAGAGGGATCTAACAGGACTCACAAGATTCAAGCCCCAATAGATGTTTCAAATTGGGTCAACTTTTGATCAATTGAAACATATCTTTTAGTCCTGACTTATTCTAATAAAAAGCCATAATTACACTCTCGAGTCGAGTGATAATTATGAAAGCAAATCATGATCCAATAACAATATCCTCTTATCATTATTTCACAAATCGGCCCCCTATTTGATCATCAGTATGATGAAACTAACACAATGAACATTTTGCCCTTCCAGCATGTATAGCCCTCTAAGTCCTATTTTCATATGACAATTCCAATGTGAACAAATCACAATAGAGAGTCCAATGATCATATCATCGGAGTATTGTGCTCAAGTTCAAATGCTTTATAGAGAATAATCTGGAGTGACGATTCTCTCATCGTGATGATTAATGGATTCTTCTATTGTAAGTATATGATCCTTAACTGTTTCGCCTCAAATTCCCAAAGTACCGAGATCGATCTTTTAATTACGACTTCACTCATTGGTACCTCAAAAAAACTTGAACTAGCAATCAAAGATACATTATTTGCTCAGAATTTAGGTGATTCATATGATGATCAGAATTTAGGTGATTCATATGATGATCAAGTAGAGTCTCATTTTGAACGATTACAAATGAGTCATCTATGCATCCTATTCAATATGCACCAAAACACATTATTGGTCTTATTTTCAAGATCTAGACAAATTTTAATAAGAACAATGCAAACTTATCAACATAAAACTTCCAATTTTATGTAGCGATTGTGATTATATATTTTGATCACGCCAAAAGTTGTGTTTCGATATACTCGAACCATCAAGTACAAAATTTGTGACATCCTACATGATCATGGAACTTTAGATTATTGTTACAAATTAAAACATGTGAATAATCGAATATTAATTCATAATGTTCTCTACAAAATATTACTAAATGTGCATAAAGCTTACACTGTTAAACCTAAATTATCTGTTCATCTTTTTGGTCGCTTTTAAACATTTTGCAGTACTTCTACAACACAGTCCACCCCTGAGCTATGAAATATGAACTCCCTTGAATAGTTTATATCAACCAAGTAACCAATTTGGATATTGTCCTTTTACATATTATTGTATTATTTCTAACTCAATATTTTATCAGTTCTTTGGTATTATGCAACCATCAATTACACCAATTTGTTATCAATGCTTCAGTCGGGGAACCAAGGATCTTCTAATTAGATGTCAGCTCTGTCAGATTCGATGTGTTCATTCTTACTGTCTGGATCCTCCTTTGTTTCACTGGACATGTGTTCGGTGCAAGGATCTCCAATTGCTTTACCTGCTAACCCGTTAGTTTTCCCTTGGACATTGATTTAAGATATAATTCCTTTGATCTTTGCAACAATTGTTTCAATTTTGCTAAATTAAATTTAGACTTTGTTATTGTACTATATAACTTGAATACTTTATCTTCTACTTCACATTTTAGAAGCACATTGATGTGTTGTAAATTAACTAGAGTTCAAGCTCATCTTTCTCACTTTTTTGTTCAGTTTAACATGAACGAGCACATATAAGTTGTAAGTGTTATGCCCTAAGTCCAATCAACTTTAGACATAATCACTTTTAATATATAATTGATGCAATTCTATAACAGATCTATTAATTAATTAATATTCAATTAAATTAAATAATAGAGTTCATAGATTCAAATCTTTGTAATTTGTTAATCACAAGGAGTTGTGATTGTGAGA